TCGCGCCTCAAGCCCAGTTCTCCTAGTTGCTAGCGTTCTACATTGCCCTGGGACCTTGGTCATTTGCACCAAACCCACAGTGGTACATTGTCCTTAAGGGGGCTCTCCTTCAACTCAGGGCCCTGTGGGTTTCATCACATGGTCTTTTCCTGGCCCGGGGCCCCTTCCAGGAGCACGTTCAGTCGTCTTCTCTGGACTGTGACTGCCCTTGTCTGCGCAGCCCGCCGCGCCACCCTGTGGGCGCCAGAACACACCACCCTGGGGATCGTTGTTTTAAATTTAATGATTTGAAGAAGAAAATGCCCTTTTCACGTGGTCATTTTCTTTAAAGCTGAAGTTCTTTCTCCCCACAAGGGCAAGACAGGGGAATTAAATCAGCTTTTGAATGCAGTGAAGTCAGTGCAGGAGAAGACGGTCCTGTTTCAGCAGGAGCGAGACCAAGTCATGCTGGCCCTGAAGCAGAAGCAGATGGAGAACAGTGTGCTGCAGAACGAGGTAGGCCGTGCCCCTCTCCCCAGGAAGGGGCCGAGACTGTCACTTAGCATGAAGGGGGTGTTTCTCGGTCCTTTTCTGATACGAGGAAGCAGGATCTTGATCATTCAGGATGGGTTATATTTCCCTTTTCAAAAGTGAGAACCCAAAAAAGTAAAAAATGATGGCATTTCTTGAAGAGACGAAAAATGTCCTACTCGCAAGGGGAAAGTGAGATCCGCTGGACTAATGGGCCGCCGTCCCGAGAGCAGCCTATCGTATGACTCCATTTCCTTTTTTTAACAGTTTTACTGGCATATAAGTCACATATGGTTCAATAGTCCAATCACACCATGAAGAGTTGGACAATCCTAGAAATGATGGTGATCACACAACTCACTTTAAAAGTGGTTTAACTGTGGTGTTAGGGGGAGAAAATGTTCTAAAATTGATTGTGGTAATGATTGTACAAGTCTTGGTATGATTTAACTATTGAGTTGTATGACATGTGAAGTGCCAATAAAGTGGTTTAAAAAAAAAGAATTGGACAATCATCACCACAGTTCTAGAGCATTTTCCTCATTCTTTTGGTTTTTTTAATCATTT